TTATTCTTTTAACAACATTACACAAACATAAACATATCATTCTATTTTAAGATTGCATGGTATGGGCAACGCCTGAAGACATTTTTCTGAATTGGAACGTCCGTAACGGCGTTACGACATGTGAACACAGCCCCCGCCCCGGCGTTTTTTGGTGTTACGCTGCAACGCGTTGTGATTGTAACGAAGAGAAACGGGGCGTTTCTTCTTTAATTCTTTCTGTTTTTCTTCTTTAAATTTTGCCTCACAACGGCGTTGTGAGTTGGAACACCACCCCTGAAATTTGTCTCACAATGGTTTATGCCTATATGGCCTTTCAACGGCGTTTTTTTTTGTTGCCGATACCGTGCAGCCTAACAATACAAGTTAACGTTTTGTTATTTGTCTTTTGGTTCTAGAATTTATCAGTATAATCATGTTTAGAAGAGAATGATACTTAACCATCGTTTTTAATTGTATGTATAATGTTGGATTTTTTGTATAATCATAGAGAACTTCATCCGTTCAAAGGAGTATTGGGATCTCATAGAGCCCGGGATCACTCTACCAACAGAAAGGGTTCTAATAGAGGCAAAACAGAAGACTCTCAATGATCAGAAGTTGAAAGTTTTGAAGCTCAAAAATTTCCTATACCAAGCAATCAGCAGAGATATCTTCGACACCATCATCAACACTGATACAAGCAAAGAAATCTGGGATAACTTGAGGCAAAAATTCCAGGGATCAACTGGAGTAAAGTGGGTTGAACTCCAAGTTTTGCGCAAGGATTATGAAACTCTACACATAAAGGAAGGGGAGACGGTCAACATTTATGTAACATTCTAGAATTTGGTATGCTTCCTTTAGCCCCTTAATACAAAAATCATCTCATTTTAGTCTGTAGCTAGTACGCGGGGAATACTCTGAATACGCTTAGCGTACTAGCCCAATCCCAGATCGCGGGTTCGCCTACGTACGCGGGGCGTACGTAAGAGTACACATGGCATACGTGGTGCAGGGGCAAACCCTAATGTTTAGGGTTTGCATCCTATTTAAACAACTTATCTCACTCTTTGACATTCTATTGATCAACCTCCATCACCCTATGCCCTAATATCGAAACCTAAGTGTATTTGGTGAGATTTGAGCTTGAAATTGAGTTTGTTGGTGTTTTGTGGTGAAGAAGAAGAAGAGAAACACTTGGAGGTTGCTTAGGAGTAGCTTGAGCTTGTAGATCCGGAGTTATCTTCACCTTAACAAGCCATTTGAGGTAAAAAGCTCTCATATTGATGATTATATGTGCTAGATCCAACTTAGGGGGTTGTTTTTGTATTTTTGGGTCTTTTGAGTTAAAGTTGAGCTTTTAATCTCCTCCAGAAGCCATGTATGTTAGATCTTAGCTCCATTGAGGTCCCTTTTCCATAAAAATGCAATCTTTATGTAAGATATTGGTTCATGAAAGTGTTAAGAGTCTTACTAAGCTTATTTTTTAGTATTGGGCTGTGTAAAGTTGCCAACTTTTCATATTAAGTTGCCATTTAGAACCAGATCTGAGAGTTTAGCATGTTGGTTTAACCATTTAAGTGCTTAATGGGTTAGGTTGGAAATGAGGGGAGTACGTTGCGCGTATTGGCCCTAGAAGGAATACGCTAAGCGTACGAGCTGAGTACACCCCACATACTCAGCAGAATGACTTTCGGTTTGATTTCCTCAAACCTAGTAAGAGACTGAAATGTTATTTGGGGAGAGAAACTGATTTATTAATTTATTATATGATTAATAAATTATTTTTACAAAAAAAATGTGCATAGGGTGCACATTTTTCATAGAAAAAAATTTTATTATTATTTTTCAAATATTAATATGGAAAGAGGTTGAAAATGATGAATTTTAATATTTTTTTTTTGATATAAGATAAACTCTAAAATGAAAGTTTAAAAGTGATCTTATTGATCGTAAAAAAAGTTAATGATCTCATTGGAAATTTACTCTCTCTCTCTCTCTCTTTATATATATATATATATATATATATATATATATATATATATATATATATATATATATATATATATATATATATATATATATATATATATATATATAATCGATGTAATAACTTTGTATCTAGTAAGTTTGTTTGCTGAAAACGATAATGTATTTTCTTATTTTTGGACTCGAAATTCACTCTATATGGAGACTTGAATTTCCTAATTAAGACTACCCCCTTTAACAATCCAATCTAACTTAATTTTTATATAAAAACTAATTTCTCTCTTTTACACCTATACAACTCAACTCAATCTAATTTTTTTTAGGGTTGTGCTATAAGTACCCCCTTAACCAATTTTATCCCCCTAACATCAATCAAATCAACTTTTTACTTTTGATTTGACATTATTTTTTTCTTTTTCTTTTTTTTTTCCTTTTTGTTTTTGATTTTTTTCCTTTTATTTTATATTTTAATATTATTACTATTAAATACAGATGACATTTTAAAATTCGGTAAACATTATAAATTTGCACGATATTATAAAATTCGAACGACTTTTTTGTCCGTAATTAAAAAATATTTAAAAACCGATTTTATATAGCCGTTTGAATTTATAATGTCTTCCGAATATTAAAATTTTGTGCGAAATTTATAATAATAATAATAATAATAATAATAATAACAATTAAAAAAAAGAATTAAAAACAACAAAAAAAACAAAATAGGAAAAAAACAAAAAAAAAACAACAAAAGACAAAAAATCAAATGTGGAATTGGAAAAAGGAAGGGGGTACTTATAGAAAACCCCTTTTTTTTATCCCATTAGCAATCTAACCTAAACCCATTTTTATTTAAAAAATATAATTTATTTTTATTTTTATTTTACTACAAACTATTAGAAACATTAAAAATAAATATTTATTTAGATATGAAAAATTGAGATAAGATATGAAGTATATCAATATTATATTATATTTATAGAGAAAAAAAATAGAAATTTGAGTATTTTTTTATATTTTTTTACTGAGATAATGTTGGATTTTTAATAAATAACGATTTTTATCCTAAAAGTATATATTGTTATCCAAAAAATATATGTTGAGCCCTTTCTTTCATCAACGCGTGGGCAATGAGTACTATGTCATCATTTGTAAGCTGGGTCGCATGGGTGACATAGTTCATCAAAATTAAATTAGTTTTTTTTAATGGAAATGAGTGAACCGCTCACCAAAGTACTACCAATGGTGGTAGTCTAAAGACATTGAAAGTGCTTTGTTGTGTTTGGAGAACTAGTCTTTGGAGGATTCCAAATGTCGAAACTCTTAGAGTAAGAGGTTTCGACATTCAAACTTTTTGTGCAAGATTTGTCATGGTGATACGGATTCGGTGAGCTATGTTTTGGTGAAGCGTGGTTTAGCAATCAAAGCTAGAGAGTGGATTTTCAAATGGTGTGGAATTCCTGCAACAGTTTTCCGGTGTGGTGGAGTTCCTTGATTTTGCTACGAATTAGGGAAATTGTCTTAGGAAATGCAAAGTCATCACTTCAATCTTTTACCGTTTACAGTGGTGCATATAGAATACGAAAAACAAGAAGGTTTTTAATAATCTTATCTCTTCCCCTGCATTGATTGTGGATGGTGTAGTTTTGTTGTCATTTGCATGTAAATTGTTTCCTTGTTTTTCGCCCTCATTCTAGTTTATTGTTAGTCGGGGGTGCTTTTTATATATACCTCTTTGTTGAAAAAAAATGTTATCATGTATTGTCAATGCCTAAAAAATTTATAATTGTTTCATGACTCATGAGTCATCGTGAAGTATTAGTTCCAACAGTGGCGAATCTAGAACAAAATATCATGTGGTTCTCAAATTAATTGAAGTCGATAAAAAAATCAACAACACTTGTGATGGGTGGGTCGGTTCGGGTCGGGTCGTGTACGATTTAAAGAAATATAACTGAAAAAACCGATCAGCCACCACCAATTAAAATTTTTAAAAAAACCGACTGAAATATAATTGAAAAAACCGAACGATTTAATGAAAAATTAGTTGATTATTAATGCATTGATACCTTATTGTTTTATAAAAACTATATATTATATTTAACCCTATATATTTAACAGTACAAATGCCCCATATAACTTATTTTTTGCTCCTTTTAAAATGATTTTTTAAGACATTTTAAAAACAAACTCAATGTAGATCCTCTATTTTTTCTTTAAGGTAGTTCTTAATTTTTATGGTATATATATTATAAATGAAATTCAAATTTTTGGTAGGTTCTAGGACCTACCTTCTCATATGTTAGCTACGCCCTTGAGTTCCAACCAAAAGAGCCAGTTTAGTTTACAGTTATCGTTGTGGTTGGCCCCAACCCTATTACATGCGGTGGCCTGTGCTGCGAAGCGGAACTGATGAGAAATTCTAGTTCATTATCACCATATCCCGTTATGTACAAATTCTCCAACAAAGGTCACTTATAAGCGATTCTAATGCTTACAATATAAGTAATATATCCATAAACGAAAAGGACATCAATGGATTATTTCAATATGATGAACCCTTATTAAAATTTATTTATTTATTCCAACATCTATGGTCCATTATTGTCGTATCCGCCAAACACCACCTGGCAAAATAGGACATTCATAATTGTTGTCCTTTTGGTTCATAAAATTCAGTTCACACCTAATGACCTCCTAATATATATCAAATAAAATATTTTTATTCAGATAGAAGATACAAGGGGCTTTCCATTAAGTTGGTTTTAGATTGTTCACTTTTGACTGTTTCTTTCTTCTTCTTTTTTTTAATAAATTTCATGCGGTATTTTCTAATTCCGAACATAGGTTTAGTTTTAATATCTTTTAAAAACACATTTTTATATTAATCACCGTAAATACAAGCTAAATCAAATAAAAATAAAAATATGGATTGTAAAGAATACTTTAAAAAAAATGAATAAGAAAAGGCGGGAAGCGCATTCGTCAACTCCCATTTATATCATTAAATAAGACCAAACCCTGGCATCAAGACATCAACTACAAACAGATGTCTCTCTCTCTACCAAAGGCACTAACTATTATACTATATAAAACCCCACAGGTTTCACACCCATCAACACATACACACACTAAATTCTCTCTCCATCCTCGTTCCCATGTGAAATCAATGCTTGTTTCAGTGCGTGTATGCTTCGTCTAAACTTCAATCTTCAACGATTCTCATTATTTTTTTATTTTCTCTCAGATTTATATAGATATAATAATGTATACATGTGAAGTACGAGATTCACGTTGAAGTACACAACCACTTTATCTCTTATAAGTCATAACCACTCGATTGAACAGATCTAAAGAAAGGAAGTCAAAGGGAAAGGGCAATGGGGAGTTACAGAGTATGTTGTTGCTTTACTAGAAAGTTTAAGGTGACTGAAGCCGATCCGCCGCCTGATGTAAAAGAGGCGTTCGGAAAATACTCCGACGACGGGATCCATATGACTGCCGATCAACTGCGACGGTTTATTGAGGAGTGCCAGGGCGGCGATGGTGTCTCCATTTCAGATGTTGAGCGTATAGTGGAGCAGGTTCTTCACAAAAGGCACCCAATTACTTCGTTAATTAACAGGAAAACTTTTACTATAGAGGATTTTCATCATTATCTCTTCAACTCCGACCTTAATCCTCCAATTATTTCTCAGGTATCTTCCGATATTCAACTTCTAAATTGACATGAACAAAGCAAAAGAGATGAGGAATATTCATGTTGAATATTTAACAAGTCGGTTTTACCTTTTACTATTTTGGAAAAGGTCTAATGTTAATAGTTGATTGTGACCTAGATCGATTTAGGAATACTTGATTGTTAAGGTTATAACTTATAACTATAAGTCAAACCAACAGTTGTGGTACCATTGAATTTTCCACTTCTGGTTCATCTGAATCTATTTGAAAGAAATCATGTATATTCTCGAATTGGGAAAATATAACACATGTATGATGTAACTTATTTATTCATAATTATGTCATCCAATCAACCAGAAAAAGAAGAGGATAGCAGATAAAGTAGTAACTTAATTGCCTGATTTTGTTCATATTTAGGCATGTGATAGTAGCTTATGGTACCCCACTGCCCACTACAAGAAATGAGTGTTCCTTTTTTTTTTTTTTTGAAGTATTATTATTACCGATGATGCCACTTTACTACTATTTTTGGTATAAATGAATTGCCACATGTTTATAAATGGCTTTTTCCAATGATAGATTCACCAAGATATGAATGCTCCATTGTCCCATTATTTCATCTACACGGGTCACAATTCGTATTTGACTGGAAACCAGCTAAGTAGCCCTTGCAGTGATGTCCCAATCATCAAAGCATTGAAACGAGGTGTGAGAGTAATCGAACTTGATTTATGGCCAAATTCATCTAAAGATAATGTTCATGTTCTTCATGGAAGGACCCTAACAACACCTGTGGAACTCATAAGATGCTTGAGATCTATCAAAGAACATGCTTTCACAGCTTCTCCTTATCCAGTCATCATAACACTCGAAGATCATCTTACCCCTGATCTTCAAGCCAAGGTGGCTCAGGTAAATATATTATATGCTTAATCCTTCCTTTTTTGTGAATTTTAATATTGTTAATGCTTTCATGCTCTTTTTTGCTAGATGGTTACTGATACATTCGGGGAGATGCTATTTTGCCATAACTCAGGTCAAATGAAAGAATTACCAACGCCTGAAAGTTTGAAGTATAGGATTTTAATTTCAACGAAACCTCCAAAGGAGTACCTTGAAGCTGAGGAGGACAAGAGAACGAAATCACAGAGAGTTAAAGATAGTGGTGAAGATGATGTTTGGGGTGAGGAGCCCTCACGAGCCATAGCATATAAAGACAAGAACGATAAGTATGAAAGTGATGAAAGTTTCATTGATCATGATGCTGAAGATTATGATTTAAAGAGAACGGATTCATGTCCTGCTTACAAGAGTTTGATTGCTATTCATGCTGGTAAACCCAAAGGTGGACTTATGGAGGCACTGGAAGTCGAAAAGGATAAAGTTAGACGCTTAAGTTTGTCCGAACAGGGGTTGGAAAAAGCTGCAGAACACCATGAACAACAAATAGTGAGGTAACTATCTGTTGGGAAAATGGTCTCAAAAATTCCCAAAGGCCCAATAAAAAATAGTAATATACATGGAAAACTCTAAAACCGGAGAAAAACCACAAACATCTGGACGACGGAAAAATTCATTATATAACAAAATTATTACAATCACAAAGACTAATCTCTTAAACAAAACCACAATTACATTCACAATCTAAAGAGCGGAATGTCACGGGATGACTCAAGCGACTAGTCTATCTCGTGTGCCACTTAGCTTTTCTCCGATTAAGTCAGGCTAACTTCGATGAATAAAGAAAAGAAATTAATTAAAGTATATTTGATTGGAGACGCATGAAACCAAATCCTTGGACTTCTTTTATAGGCATGGACATAATGATGTTTTTCTTGATTTTAGGTTTACCCAGAAGAACATTCTTAGGATATATCCGAAAGGCACTCGTTTTACCTCGTCCAACTACAAGCCACTAGTGGGCTGGCTACACGGAGCTCAGATGGTTGCATTTAACATGCAGGGATACGGACGATCCCTTTGGTTAATGCATGGAATGTTTAGAGCAAACGGAGGATGTGGGTATGTGAAAAAACCAGATTTTCTAATGACAAGTGGACCCAACAACGAGGTATTCGATCCCAAAGCAAAGCTTCAAGTGAAAACAACTTTAAAGGTGAAAATCTACATGGGAGATGGATGGCATCTGGATTTCAAGCAAACTCATTTCGATACATACTCACCACCAGATTTCTACACAAGGGTAACAACTAATAATTAACAATTCCACAACAACACAACCCGACTTCATATTTATATTTGTAATTTTGTAATGAAAATTGTTAGGTTGGTATATCGGGAGCACCTGGTGATGAAGTGATGAGAAAGACAAAGCCAATGGAAGACAACTGGACGCCTGTTTGGAATGAAGAATTTGTGTTTCCATTGACGCTTCCTGAAATAGCTTTACTTCGAATTGAAGTTCATGAATATGATATGTCTGAGAAAGACGATTTTGCTGGCCAAATTTGTCTTCCTGTTTCTGAGTTGAGGCCGGGAATCCGTGCGGTTCTTTTGTGCAACCGCAAAGGCGATCCGTACACCTCTGCAAGACTACTGATGCGGTTTGAGTTTGTACCCAATGAGTCCTAAAATCCCACGACTTTGTAATTTAATCCTACGGAATAAAATCTTTTTGCATTTTCAAATAAGGGTAATCTATAATGAGAAGAATATGATTTTCGTATATTGTCCAAATAAGCCCAATCAAGCCCAATGAATAAGTACTTGTAGCCTTGGAGGCTGGAGCCCAGTTCAGGTCCAGCCCATCCTACATTATCAAAATGGTATTGGTAGATTTGGGATTTCAATTTTTTTCTTTAAATTGGGACTTCGAAGTTCGAACATTTTCTTTTTAGTTATTAGACTATAACCATGAGTGATCAAACACCACAAGTTCAAAGAATGAGACAAAAAAAAATAATAACTTAAAAAAAATGAAAATTGAAAAAGACGACTTGTTCCTTTCCCCTCCCATTCTTCACCAAATTTGGGGGCTCACCGCTCACCTATGTGACATTTGGCATCTTTTAGATGTTATTCTTTTTGTATAGAATTTATATTGTATTTATTTAATAACTTTTATAAAAAAACTTAATACTAAGTTTTTTAATTTATTCTCTATAAAGGTAATGTAGAAGTAGTTGTATATGTTTTTATAATAAAAACAATAAGATGTTTGTTTATTTTAAAGTAAAATAATGTTTATATTTTTTTTATAAAATAAAATACAATATATTATATTTTAAATAGATTGAAAATCATTATAAAATATATATTTTTAATAAAAGCCTGAGTTAGGTTGGTTGCTAATGAAATATAAAAAAAATCAGGTTGAATTGATTTATGTAAATTGATGAAAATTAATTTTTTAATCATTTATTGGATTGGATTAGATTACGATAAGATAGTATTATATATAGTTTCAACTTTTATATGATATGAGTATTGAATCATGGAAGTAGCTAACAACCATTTAACTTTCACACTAATTAATACATTTGAAAACCTAAAAAAAAATAGTCTAGATGAATATGACTTTAGGAATAAGCCAGTGACTTAATAGTGAAAAATTTGATTATATGTTTTTTTAGGGCGACTTGTGTTTTCTAAAAAGACAAACAGTCTACTTAGTGAAGTAGATATGATTGATGAATGTCCATCCAGTGACTTTGTATCAGGGCCGGCCCTAGAGGGTGGGCAAGTTGGGCGACCGCCCCGGGCCTTGCCAAATCTCGGGGCCCCAAATAGTTTTAAAATGATAAATACTATACGTCTCCCAAAAATAACCAAAGGTGCTTGTAGTTCATCTGGTTTGAAGCGCAGGAATGGTTGTGGTTGTTGATCGTGTTCGAACCTTGTACTACTCCCAGAAGAGGTCCTTTTTTTATATATATTTATTTAACTAAATGTTAAGGCCCCCTAAAAATGCAACGTGGAGCCACTAAAATGCGAAGAAATCACCCACATCAAAAATTGTTGAAATTCCATGTGTGTAAACATATCCTTTTTCTTTTTTTTTTCTTTTTTTTCTCAAAAGTGCACTCTACAAATATATCCTATCAAAACTTTCGATTCAACAACAAAATTTCCTATTATGTTGTACAAATTCAAATGGAAAGATCATAAAAAATAATGAAGGGAATATTATTAGTTCATGTCTTCTGAAAGGAGATTAAATTCTTATTCAACAACAAAACATTATTTTTTTTGTGAACCTTTGCGCGTGGTTGATTTAATCAATTAGATTATGCTAGGTTTAGGTTTTCTTCTATAAGGTGATTTTTACGAGATTTTTTTATTTTATTTTGTTTTATCGTATTAACTTTATTTGTTATACGATTAGTATTTAATCACAACATGCGATGCATCGGAGAACTCATTTGCAAAGTGGACTACAATTTATAAAAATAAAGTTTCGGTCCAAACAATTATGTATGAGGGAGTAAATAATAATTAAGAATTTATATTAATAAATATGAAAACTATAAAAACAAAGTTTGTAAGGGATCAAAGACAATTTTAAAAAATTGTACTAAGTTTTTAAATTTAACAAAATTTTCCGAGGTGTGGCAGTGAAGGGCCTCAAATTTTATTTTGCCTCGGGCCTCAAATCGTCTTGGACCGGCACTGCTTTGTATATGTTCGTTTGGTTTTAGACGTTTCCTATTTTATACACATTTTGGTTCCAAAGCTAAGGAATATAATCACCAAGAATAATAATATAATTGCAAGAGGATATGGGGAGTGAGTACGCATCAAAACACAAGAGAAAAAGAAAAAACATAGTGTTTGGAGGAATAAATTTAAAGAGAGTTTGGATTTGACCAAACTTTACAAATAAAGGGTAGCTTTTGGAAAAAAAGATTGTCAAAGTGGAAGATTGAATAAGATTCATATATCTTTATTACTATTAAGATCTTGAATGATTCCCACACCACAAACAGAAAGGACAACTATACACTAGTAATAACGATGGGAAATTTACCTTTACATGTATCAAACCAAAGGGTATAAATGTCATTTCATCCTCCGCTCTTCATGTTTTCAATAGACAAGTATAGTAGTAACACTTCCTGATATACCTTTTCTTACTTTCCAGTGTCCACAAAGACCAAAAAAGCCATATTCAAAAGAGCCAATTTTTATCAATTCTTTATAGCTTTATAGTTTGTACAATTCTAACACATTCAAGTAATGACATGTTAGTAATATTATCGATATAAAAATGAATGTAAGTATACAAGTTTTGTACAAAAGGAATGATAAATGAAATTTGAACTTTTATTTACAAAAAAATAAATAAATAAATAAATAAGAATATCATATACAATACCAAGAAATAGAATGAGAAAAATATGAAGATTGATGAGACAGCCTACTAAATAAAATCATCTCCTCATTAAATCTATTAAATTATAAACAAACACCACCGTTTAGAAACATTTCAACTAGACCTGGCAATGGGGCGGGTTTGGAGCGAATCGACCTTGATCCAAACCCTTTTAACAAATTCCAAAATCTAATCCAAACCCGCTCCGTAACCCGCAGAGTTTTGAATAATCAAACTCATACCCTTATCCACCGAATCAGTAGATATCCAAACTCGCCACGTAACCCGTAGGTTTTTTGAATAATCAAACACATTTTACTTAAATCATAAAATCACATTTATTAAATAAAACAAATGTTGATTTAGAAAACACATTATGTACTCGAACACTTTCGATTGGAATTAAAATCATTATTGTAGTTACTTCTGATTGGTTTTTGACCGTCGATTGCATTGATAGAGAATAGGAATTACAAACTTTCTTCCGGTTGATAAATAAATTTATTGATTTATAAATGAAATTTGTGATTACATGATGAAATATAAATGAAATGACATCATGATTTTTGGGAGAAGACTGAAAGTCTAGAAGTTGAGTCTTCGAGTCATATGTAAAAACAGTTTAGTTTTGGCATTTTCTCTTTGGACATTCTATTGGAATTTAAATTAACTTTAGGCAGTATAAACTATAAATGTATGATTCTAAAATTTATATGAGGCGGGTTATAAATGGAGCGGATTGGTGATGATCCATACCCGACCTTTTTAATAAAAGGGTTAGCGGGTATGGGTCGTTAACGGGTAAACGGATCAAAAACTATGCTCCAAACCCGTATAATTGTTAAGGGTTTAGATCGGATAAGGGTCAAAACCCGTTCCATTGTGAGGCCTAATTTCAACATACATTTAATAATGGTTATTTCTTGTCAAAGTTATATCTTAAAAAGTTAGGTAATTATCATAAACAAACATTTCATTTCGGTTCAAACATCATATCGAATGACTCAAACTGTTTAAAAATAGTGTTGACCAATTCTGTAAAACTAAAATGAACTAACCGATCTTTTATTATTAAAAATGTCAAATCAATCCTTAAACGATCCAAAATCCTTATCGTCGAGTTACTAATATTATCCAAATATATGGATAATCATAAAAACACATTGATTTTGACTAAATCATTTGATCATATACAACAAGGATAACTACACCAATACTTTTACAAATTATTTCTATTTTTAAATTTTAAATGTCTAAAAGCTTTTCCAACAACAAAATGATGATTTTAACGTCAAAATGGTAATTGAATTTCAGCCGATCTTTAAAGTGATAGTTTTTAAATAGTTTCATACTTGATAACCAACTCCAGTGGTCCACTAAAATAAACCATTTTAGTGTGTTTTTCCTTTTCACATTCCAACCAACCTTAAAAATTTAATGGGTGAGATACATTCACAACACCAAATATGAGAATTAAAATGATTGACCTCTAAAAAAACATCATTTTAGTATATGGTTTTATTGATTTCACCATTTTAATGTTTAAAACTCACATTTTTTGTATTTTACCACTGAAGTTGGTTATTTGATGTTAAAATTAAGTCAACATATAAATAATATGATATTTAGAGATTTGTTGGAGTGAAAAATGATATTTTAGAGGTCTATTGGAGTTATTAGATATATCTAATTTTTTATAAAGGTTTTCTACCATTATTAAGTTTTTGTTAGATTTCAATACAAGCGAAATATTGTCTTGAAATTTGAAATTTGTCCATTTTGAAATTATTCTTGAAATTTCGGCAAACCAAGTTTTTTTTATGTCGTAATTCTTATCCTGAAATTCTAGGTTCAATATTTTTTTAATAAAAAAAATTACGTTTAATATGACTTAAGACAGTCTTATATGAATTTTATATTTTCCGAAACATTTCATTTCATACTTGTAAATAACTCAAAATATTTATAACTTTTATAAAAGAGGTCATTTAAATCAATATGGTTCCAAATAAAATATCTATTTTGCATCATATTTATTTGAAACTCCCACATTTTCAACGACATAACTAAGTGTATGGTTAAATGAAATCTTTTTCATATATAAGAACATTATTTTCATGTTTTATTACTTAAATTTTCTCACTTTACTTTCATTAATTGTTATCTAAAGCATATGGAAATAAAAAAGAAGGTGTGTGTATGTATTAAGCCCATTCATACGATTGAAGGTGAAAAATATTTATATCCGTCTAATCTTTGAATAAAGAGTGGAATGAAGAAAATATATTTTTTAGAACTAAAGACGTATATGATAATCAATGTTTTAAAAGGCTAAAAACGATTTGGGTTATTTTTCTTTGTTTCAATTTATATCCACATATTTCC